GATTCTATGATTCTATGATTCTATGATTCAAAAAGTATAAATAATGGAGAACTGATGCCCCAAATCATCTCTCCCTTCATCTCTACTCATGGCATCGACAACACTTGAAGGACAAAGGAAACATCACTGGACAAGGGAGGGATCCTGGCAGAAAGGAATTCAACCAGTAAGACTGCTAGAACATGTACTGAGAGATTTTTGCTTTGAATGCACTTAGCTTGTTAGATTAGGCATTAGTTGAGTTTTACTTTTTATTTCTTTGTAACCAATTCTGACTTTTATGCCTCTTTGCTTGTAATCACTTAAAATCTACCTTCTTATATTTAATAAACTTGTTTCATTGTTTTATCTAAACCAGTGTGCTTGGACTGAAGTGTTTGGGAAACTCCATTTAAAATGTCGGAGAAATAACAGGATTTATGCATATCATTTTCTATTTAAAAAAATGATAGACTTTATAGGAGCTTGTATTGTCCAGGAGAGGGCTCAGCAGTATACAATACACATTTCTGGGGGAAGTCTGGGTCTGCAAATTTGCAGGTGTTCTTTTACAGTGTAATTCAAGAGTGGCTGGCTATAGCACCCTTGCAGTATAGCTGGAAGTAATCTGCATGCTGAAGCGATAGTGAGATCAGGCCAGGAGCGGTCACTGTCCCAGCACCCCAGGTTGGAGAACTGAGGGAACACAGCTGTTCAACAGTCCAGATTGTACCCTGGGGATTCTCACACCCAGATGATAAGAGTCCCAAGCCCCTTTCCCCCAACTTCCTTAGGGGATGCCTCCCACAAAAATCTGTTCCAACTCCTGTTTACCCTTGAACCATCTTTCTTCTGTAATGAGTATGGGCACAGGACACCTGTTGCTGGTCTGAGATAGAAAACGTTCCTTTTGCAGTACACAGAATATAAATCCCACACCACCCAAGGCACATATAAGGCTAGGTTTCCACATACCTGGATCCGCCCTTCCCTTTGCACCATCCACTTTGTTCAGTGGAGTTCCCCTTCCCCCTCCTCACAATTCCTTAAGGAGACCCCTCCTTCTGTGGCCAGACAAGAGGACTCTACATCTAGTTGCAGTGAGTACATTCTTTCTATGAAGATATTTTCGCTAGTTTTGTCCATACATCAGTCACTCAAGCACCTTAGTCCTTTTGGTTGCTCTTCAAATTACTTTTGATCTGCTGACATCTCTAGTACTGAGGTACCTTAAAACTATACAACACATTCCTGTTGTGAACTCACTGACCAGTACCATACAGAAAGGGTTAACAATCACCTCCATGCTTCATGAAGTGAAGCTTCTGGATATGCAGCCCAGAAGTGATATTGGCATTTCTAGCATCAGATTACTGTCCACTATCACCTTTAAGTCCTTTTCATCATCACCTCTTTCCAGTTCCTCTTTCTCGTGTCCAGTGTAGTTTTTGGATCATTTCTCACACAGATGTATTAGCTACCATTGTTCCAAGTTCAGTCTCATTTTATTTCCTGCCAACATTTCTAACATTTTAATGGCTTTAGGTACAAGTCCCTTATAATCCTTCCAACACCCCCCTTAAAGTACATGAGCAATATCCCCATTTTACAAATGGAAAAACAGAAGGTGTGCCATCAACTTTTAAGTTTAAGACAGAAAAATTATACTTTGGGGGAGTGGGAAAACCAATTCTTATAAGTAACTCCAAGGATTACTATAACAAAGATTTTTTCAGTTTATGTGATATGTTTCACAGCACTGAGTATAGTCATTTTAACGATTATTTCTTATTGTTTCCAAAGATCTTTCACGCAGTAACAAGGATGAGAAGAGCCATAAAAAAGGAAAATGTAATTGTAAAATCACCAAAATTATCAGGGGAGCTCAGGGTCACTTGGAGTACCTGGAACTCCTTTAAATTCTCTTTTTGAAGTTAACTAGACTTTATGCTGAAGGCTACAGCAGTCAGCTTTGGAGCTGGAATCAGATTTCCTGACTCCCAGTCCTGTACTTGGACCAGTCCTCTGTCTCTCAACTACTAGTCTAGCCTCAGTATTATACCCTACTAACTTAGACCATGTCTACACTACCACTTATGTTGGCAAAACTTATGCCGCTCCGCTCAGGGGTGTGAACAAAACACAGCTCTATGTCAATAGGAGAGCTTCTCCCACTGACATACCTACCGCTGCTCGCTGGAGGTGGTTTGATTATGTCGACAGAAGACCTCTCTCCTGTCGGCACAAAGCGGTTACACGAGAGATCTTACAGTGGCGCAGCTGCATTAGTGCCACTGTAAGCTCTGTACTGTAGATGTAGCCTTAATGTGTCTTGCAAATTTAATTACTCTAATACGCAATTTACTTGTACCAGGAGATCACAGAGGAATGTGTTTAAACTGAACCCAATACTGACTGCCCTCTGCAGCACTGCATTGGACAGAATTCTAACCACTGTTCACAATCATTCCTTTGTATAGCAATAATGAAATTTAAATGATAATAAGTTTGTATTTTTAACATCCTGTTGCTTTTCCAAAACTCCATTTCACTATACTGATGGAAGTCTACATAGATTTAGTCTGTGGAAAGATAAGAACTTACAAGTGTCTTTAAAAACTGAATATGTACAGAGCAGCTCTGTAAATGCACCCTTAAGGACTACATAATAGTTCTGTTAAAAAAACCCACTGAACACTATCCTATGTTCCTATAGGTCTGACTGATTTGAATAAGAGGTGTTTAGAATTTTTATTTTCTCCAGTAAATATACATGCTGTCTGAAGTATGGATCAACATTTGATTTTTTTAAACCTTAGATATAGTTAAGTTTTAATCATAGAATTGCAATACAATTAAATGAAATGAGACAAGCAAGGAATAGTAACAGCTGGCTAGGGCACTACCATCCCACCTGTGCAGCATCATAGGAAGGAGAGCAGCACATCTGGGCCTAGCTATCAGCTACTATGAAGTCATACACATCTAACAATTACCAGACTTATTAAAAACTACAGTACAGTTCTACACAGTAGAGACTGGAAAAGCAGAAGCAAGCACAGCAGGTCATTCCTTTGGATTTTAAAAATAATTTTGATGAACTCTGGAGGTGCCAATGCTTCAGGTAGCACACAATACCCCTAGAGGATTTTCCATACTTAAAAACCCTCACACATTTAGTAGATGTACTGAATTATCTCACTAGGACAACAAGAAAACCTAACTTTTTAGCACCACCTCACTCATTTTTTACTAGACTGTGCTATTAAATGTATCACAAAATGCATAAGGGACACTAACCACCACCAAATTACTGAGCAGCTAACAAATTTCACAGCCTTAATAATTCTGGGGTTGGGGATGAAAACGTTTATTCAAAAACAAAATAGGATATTTGAAGCAACACTTGAGGGAGACCTCCACTAAGAACACATTGGGCTAGCATCAATATACTCAGAATACTCTTTAATTTGGTTTTATTTATGTGAAGGAGGTTGTTTGTTAGTTTTGTCTATTTTTGCTAAAACACTCAGGGCCTACTTGTGGCCCTGAACGTAAATGCTTAATTAGCACATTTATGAGCTATATGAAGCCCGGATGTACCAGTCAGTGGAGTTGCACCTGCAGCTCCCCACCACCACCACACAAAGTCATGTTTTGTAAATACATTTTTTGAAAGCTGGATTTTCTACTTTAGTACAAAGTTTACAAAACTTTTTCCAAGAGTTAGGTTCTTTAGCCTATTTTTTCCTTTGCCTCACCATTCCTCATGACTTCAAGTGAAATAGTAAAGTTACTGGGTGGAGCATAGGGAGGAAAATTGCTGGTGCCCATCTTTTGCAGGGAGAAAGGGCCACTGACACACACACACACACACACACTTTACCACCAAGGCTACCACAGGTCATCCTCAAACCCTTACCCCAAACCCTGACTCTCCCTCCTACCACCCCCCACACACACACATGCACAAGGGATGTCCCCAATCTCCCCCCAACACACACACTCCCCACTTTCACCCCAGGGCTGCCCCCCCCCAATCAAACCCCACCTTCACCCCAGGACTATCCTCTCCCTTCTTCCCTCCCACTGCCCCCCACCTTCACACCCTGGCTCTCTCCCTCCCACTGCCCCCCACACACAACCAACCTCACCTTCACACCCCGCTTGTCGTACCTCCCCTACACACACACAAACACGGAGTCATCGCCAGCTCCCCCATCGCACCCGGACTCACCCCACAACTGCCCCTTCCCCCCAAGCCGCGCTCCCCGGCGTATGTTGGGGGATTTCTGGGCATTCCCACTGGCAGGGGGCGCGGCAGCCAGCGCCGCCCAGCCCCGCTGTCACCGCCAACCCCTGGCCCCAGGGGCCACAGACAACCACAGCCTCCCCCGCGGCGCGAAGCTGCAGGGTCGAGATGGTGCCCCAGGAGCCTGCGGCCGGGCATCAGGGTCGCGGGGGAACACACGCAAGGACTCACGGCACCGCTGCCGCCCCCGGCTCCCCATCGCCCCAGGAGAGCCAGGGGACCGAGCCAGGAGCGCCCGCCCCGTACCAGCGCCACCTCCCCTCTTACCCGTCCTTGCGCCGCGCTTTGTAGACGTGCCCGTAGGTGCCTCTCCCCACTTTGCAGCCCTCGTACTCGAACAGATCCTCCACCCGCTCGCGCTCGGCCGCCAGCTTGGATTTGAACTCGTAGTCCATGGCTCACCCATGGGGGAGGGGGGGCGCGGCGGGATCAGCGCCCCCAGCGCCGGGAACCCCCTCCCTGCACCAGTTCCTTGTTTTGGGTTGCGGTGTGGTTTTTTGTGTTTTGTTTTGTTTTGGTTTTTTTGGTCCCCTCCGCCGCCACCCGCTTCAACTGGGGCGACTCAGCGTTGCGCGGGGCATTCTGGGACTGGTAGTGCAGCTGGCGGCGCGGGTCCAAGGGCCCCCGCCGGCAGGCAGCGGCATGCGAACTACATTTCCCAGCATGCCCCGTAACACCCAGTTCTTGTCAGCGCCTGCGCTCCCTGAGCTGCTGAGCGTTTCAGCGGGCGCTGGGAAGTTGCTGACTCTTCACTTTGCCCGACTGAGGCGGGAGCAGCGGCTATATGGGGTGGGGGGTCGTAGGGAGACCGTGCGCCATACCTGCGCCGCAGCTGCCGCCTCAGCCCTTCGGCTATGGGGGGGAGGAGAGGGACGCTGGTGTGCCTGGAACTTGTTTATTTCTTGAGCTGCCACTCAAGCGGTGGCCCCGCCCTCCCCTTCACTGTTCTTCCCGATTGGCCAAGGCTAATCCCTCCCAGTCGCTCCTGGGCCACGGGCGTAGCCAGGAGTGGCTGTCCTGCTCGTCAGTCAGCGGCCCTGGCGCGCTCTGTTGGGGCGGAGCTGTCTATGGACAGAGCGGTTGGAGGCTGGGGCAGCGCAGAGCGGGATCTGCTTTCAGTGTTGCGCTGCCGCCCACGGCTCGGCAACGTGCCCCGCAAGGTGGCGTTGCCTGGAGGGGGCCGGTGACGGCTCGGAGCGGCCGGGGAGGGGGTGGAGCTGGGGGTGCAGCTGTCCCTTCCTCGAGGGGTCAGAGGCGGAGAGCGCTGCCCCTCCATGGGTACACCCTCCCCCCCGCACGCCCCTTTGCTTCACAGCGAGGGGATCTGTCACCCTCGGCCCCCAATAAGGTGCGGGCAGAAGAGGGTAGTGCTTTGGTTTCCTTCCCTACCAGACCAAGAGGGCAAGAGATCTGAAGGTGTCCACTTAAATCCTGCATTGCACTCTGATATTGCGCTAGGGCAGGACCATGGCTTCAGGGAGTGTTGCAAAACCAAAGGTTTGCCCAGAACTCGTTGCACAGAGGTGAACCTATATTGCCGGCCAGCCCATGGCGGTGGGAGTGAGACACCATGCGCACTTCTGACTCACCATCGCCCTGACAACATCCCCAGGAGGCTACTGCACTGTAAATGGAAACATCTAGTCACAAATCAGTCTTAAGCATGATTATCAAGAGAAGGGTTACATCCTTCTGCCCTAGGCTTGGTGTACATTTAAGTTGCGTTGGAATAGCTACTTCAGTTAGGGGTGTGAAAAAAATACACCCCTGATAGCCATAGCTATGCTGACAAAACCCCCAGTGTAGGCACAACTATGTTGACAGAAGATGGTGTCTGTCGAAATAACCAGTGTCATTCAGGGAGGTGGTGTTCCTACAACAAATCTGTTGTTATAAACTGCATCTACACAACAGAGCTGCGCTGGCATAGTTATACCTAGGGCCCTACCAAATTCTCAGCCGTGAAAAATCCATCACAGACCGTGAAATCTGGTCTTTTGTGTGCTTTTACCCTATACAATAAAGATTCCACATGGGGAGACAAGTGTTTTTCAAACTGGGAGTCCTGACCCAAAAGCCAGTTGCAGGGGGATTGCAAGGTTATTGTAGGAGAGTCATGGTATTGCCACCCTTACTTCTGAACTGCCTTCAAAGCTGGGTGGCTGGAGAGCGGTGGCTGTTGGCTGGGTACCCAGCTCTGAAGGCAGCAGCACAGAAGTAAGGGTAGCAATACCATACATGCCATCCTTACTTTTGCACTGCTGCTGGCAGTGGCACTACCTTCTGAGCTGGGCTTCTGGACAGCAGCTGCCGATCTCCGGCCACCAGCTCGGACAGCAATGCCACCGCCAGCAACAGCGCAGAAATAAGGGTCGCAATACCGTGATCCCCCTACAATAAATTTGTGACCCCACTCCCACTACTCCTTTTTGCGTCAGGATCCCTACAATAACAACACCTTGAAATTTCAGATTTAAATATCTGAAATAATGAAATTTATTATTTTTAAAATCCTATGACGGTGAAATTGACCAAAATGCACCGTGAATTTGGTAGGGCACCAGTTATACCGATACAGGCTCCATAAGGTGTACATATTCTCAATTCCCATTTCTATTTTGAAATTGATATTTACTATAGATTTATCATTTAAGGCTGAAACTAGGGATGGTTTGAAGTGTTCTGAACTAGGTAAGGTTTACCCTAGGTTTTAGGTTGAATCTGGGTCCAACAGCACCACCACGTCTCAAGCTGTTCTCAGAAGATTAGTGGTATATGGGCACATTTAAACATTTTTTTAAAAAGGAGACCCCATTTTGGCTTTATTTTTTATCTGAAAATCAATGCCATAAGGACTTCGCTCTGTCAACAATGTCAGCCTCTATCATCAATTCTCCCATTATGCATGGAAAAAACTCCCCATCAAATCCATAAAGCTACCACCTTATCCTCAATTCACTTCTGCCTTGACACCTACAAAACACTGACAGTTAGGTGATGTGGACTAGGCACGGCCAGTGGTTAACTCAGACTATTGGCTAATATGCAAAACATGCTTGTTTTACTTTTACCTTGTCATCCCAGAAATATCCTTTGTTCAATTAATCTACTTGTTGCTGCTTATTATAAACAAAGACTGAGTTCATTGGGCAGGGACTGTTTTCTTATTACTCATGTAGCAAGATATGGACCCAAGTCTTGATGTGGGCTTTTTGGTCCTTTTGTAATTTCAATGAATTCTAAACAATGTGAAAACGTAACTTCATACCCAGGCCAATATCAGTCCTTAATATATTGGGCCTACAGTGGAGTCCTCTAGCAGACATCATGAAGACTAAGTGTTGAAGTTCTAGAGAGTAAATTACTTTGAGCTCTCAAATATTTTAAATACTTTGTTAATTTTTGAAATGTTGTTCTGCTTATTTTGAAGCTTCTTTCCCTTGTTTGGAGGCCTCCATGACTTAGTATTTGGGGCTGAGGTAAGTAGAAGAAATTTGACTTAATTGGAACCTTTAAGTCAAATTTTGTATAGTGGTTAGTGTTTGGATTCAAATCCTGCATCTGATTGGTATAGCCAGAAAATCATAAAGGGCTATAAAAGTCATGACAAGAAGCTTGTATCTGAAGTGGCAAAGGGGAACCATAATTATTCTACCATTATATATATTTTTTTTAGAAAGGTACGTGAGTCAGCTTTCCTTCTGCCATAGCTCCAAGTACTTGTGAATCAGAATTATCTGATAGCCTGCCTTCTCACTATGCAAGCTTCTCTAATGGTGGATGCTGTCCTAAGCAGGGATTTATTTGCAGATACTGGTAAATGAAAATTCATAAGGCCTGATCTTGAGCTGTTACATTGCTGTTTTGCCCAATGAGAGGTATCAATCCAATGTTAACCAATATAATTAAATAAAATTACATACTTCAGAAGTGTTAATAAAAATAAAACCATTACAGAGTTATCCTCTGTGGTCAAAATAATGCTTCAGTATTTCCCATTTCTCACATTTTCCCCCCATCCTAAACTTCTGTCATCTTCCTAACTAAGATGACAGCAACTCCAACTTCTCCACCATGATTTATCTCCCATCTGAAATCCCAGCTGTCTTTTTTATCATCTTTGTTTCCCTTTCCAAACACTCCCCACCTCCTCCTGCCCCCACTTTTCTCTGACAGTATTTCACCAGTTTCTTCTGAGAAAAATTGACAAGAATGCAACAAGACCTTCACCTTTTTCTCACCTTTCCTTCCCCTCCTACAACTCATTTTTCCCTGTCACTGATACAGAAGTTTGTCTGCTCGTAACCTCTAGCATTTTCATTGACCCCATCCCACCTCCTGATCTCTATTGCACCCACTCTCATCTCCTCCTTTATCCTTCTCCTTAACCTCTCGCTCTTCCCCGGTTCTCTCTCCTCATAATAAAGCATGCTTCAGTCTCTCCCATCTTAAATCATCCCACCCTTGACCCACTTTTCTCTCCAACTGACATCCCTCTCCCTTTTATCTGTTGCCTCATTAAATGTACTGTCTATAATAGCTGTCTGGAATTTCTCTCCAAATCCATCCTAGACCCTTTCCAATCTAGCCTCTACCCCTTGCACTCCAATGAAATGCCTCACTAAAGTTTTTAAACTCAGAACCAGTACTCCATCTTCACTCACCTCAACCTATCAGCTGTCGTTGACACCACTTATGGTGCTCTTTTGATATCTTATTCTCCCTTGGCTTCCATGACTCAGTCCTCTCCTGGTCCTCCTCCTGCATCTCTAATCACTTCTTCAGCATGTTCTTCAGAGGATCCTCTTGACTCCCCACTCCAACATTCTGTGGGGGGATGGGAGCAGAAGACTTCACTCTTCACAAAAGAGAAGGATCCCCTTCTCTTTTCCCTCTATACCTTATGTCTGCATAAACTAATCTGCAAACAGAAATTCAACTCAGCTCTATGCTGAGAGCGCACAGATCCACTTCTTTTCTATACCTGTCTCTTTCTATCCAAA